CCCGTTGGGAGTGCTGATGAGAACTGGACGAGGCCAAAACCATAGTCGAGTTGAAAGGGTTTAAGGATACTTTTAGGGAGTGAAGACCGAGCGAAATTCACTGTCATCCTGAAGCCTATCCATATCATTGTGGGAAAGTTCAACCATCAGACCTTCAGCAAATTTGGTAGTTACAAGTTTCGGCATCTGAAGTAAGTCCAAGACCGACTGGCCCATATACCCTTTTCACGGATATATCCTTCTTCTCTTTGGTCGGTTGAAAGCGGCCACAAAGTCTGGCATTTGGAAATGTGTAAACTCGACTATCCAATGCCGGGAAAGCCCCAAAACAACAAAAGAAGCTGAATTCACCCTAAAACAAAAGTATTGATAACCTAAATACTAATCAAATCTCATCACATGCCGGTTTCTATAAGGGGAGGCCACGGAAAAGTGATATTGCATTAGACCCTTTTCCTAAAATAATGTGTTGCGAGGGCATGAGGATAAGTGATATCTGGCCATATACTTTGTTATTATACACCTTATTAGGAGTACTTACTAAGAAACTTTATTAATCGGTTACACAGTGACAGGTGTCAATAGGTCACATGTCAGGTGTGACTAATCCAGGTATTAAAAACATCCCATTTGTGGTGAAACCATCGATGAAACAGACGTGCATTTTCTATCACAGTTTGCGACGCTACTTATATTGAATATGAGTATGCTTCGAAAGGCGGAGTAATTATGGAATAATAGTTCGTCTAAAATCGGTTGTTTAAGGTGAGTTGGGGACTGGTAGCTCTTTTTCCCAACAATCATAGCATTAGGCTTCACGAAGTAAAATTACTGATAGTTTCGTAAGCTACTTTTATTGAATATAAGTAGACTCACCGACCTTGATAGAAAATACACGTTTGTTTCATCGTCACTTCTTTATTAATCGGATTTTTGCAAGGTCTGGCTTGGTCACATCCGCCCTTTGATCCCCTGGCACCTGTCCCTGCATGGTATAGTGATAACGTGAAGCACCCATGATAACTTATGTTTTGGATAAGGCAAAGAGCCAGATATCATTCCCCTTCACATCTTCTTAACATATTGTTTTTGTGAATAGGGTCTCACTCAAAGTGCCATATTTCTATGGAATTTTCTGGTACCAACCGACGATGGAGTGGTTTAGAGATCAGCTGGGCCTCCAATCCGAGAGTAAATACTGTATTCGTCGCCTCTTGTCGCTTTTATGACTAGTTTCGAGCTCCAGCATCTGTTCCCCATGTCTCGCTATTTTGTTTGTGCAAGTTTTTCTGTTCGGTTCACCCTTCTACTTTATGGTCAAAACAATTACTTTACATACAGCTGTTCGTGACACTCAGAGTTCATGGTGTTACTAAGATACACCTTTTTTCGTATGGCAATACAGACGCTGAGATGGATACTATCCGGAGTAAAATGAATGGAAAACAATGATAATTACCTCCGGTGGGACTTGAACCGTGGGACTGCAGGTATGGACAAAAGTATGTAAGCCAGCTCCTAACCCATGAGACCAAAGCGACGATCGTGTTGATTGATGGTGAGTGGGCTGGCAACACTTAGGCGAGGTCGAAAGTGTAATTCACATTGCATAAAATCTTTATGTGGTTTACGTGTACCAGGTTGTCTTATTGGCAAAATCACACCTTTCTTGCACGGAGTCGTCTTCCTGGTTGCTAGGAGGGCTTGTCAATTACTTTCATATATCCATGCAACAAAATCTAGCTCGGGCGTCTTTATCATCCGTCTTGCTAAAATCGGTCTCAGATCGAGTCTTCCGCACCACGAGTCTTGGGGTCAGGTCATGATGCATTGATATTTGGACGTGAACTCACTCAGCCTTAATCGCTTAAGGCTATTGAAAGACGGATAGTCTAGTTTTTCTAACAAACAGATCATTTTGGCTCTTTTGTCTAAATCGCCATTTGCAAGCAAGGGTGATTATAACTTTACTTTGATATTTACTGATAGCCTCGAAACCGACTTCCTATGCATATATGTTCTGAACTTTTATTCAATATGATTACACTCCTCTGGCATTACGCGAAGTCCCATTTCTTACGAGAATCCTTTCCAATCTGCAAAAATGTATTTTAGGCGTAAAGTGTCAAGGCAACTCAAGGGACGCCTCTTTACGATTGCAAATTTAGGTATATGAAAGGGGTGTGATTACTGTGGGCCATCCTTCTTGCTGTGATATATTTCGATCCTCCTTCGGTTCCTGTTGAGACCATTTCGCGACTTCATTCCGACCTAAATCTACTTCAAATAAAAATTTCACGTGACGACAACTTCATTTATTCGAAACTGTCAACTCATTCTTGGAATTCAAGCATATAATCCTATAACTGCCTTGTTTCCACCTCTTCTCCCGCACCCAGTTTGTCGGCTCTTCTCTCCTCCTTGTCCACCAGGAACTGGCCGCCCAGATTGCCCGCTAGACCACTGGACCGCCGATCATGCCGCAGTCTCTGGCACGTTTCGCGTCCCCTTCGTCCGCCCCTTCCGGCGGCCCGACTTCTCCCGACGAGCCCTGCTCCATTCTCGGTCCTGAGCCCGAGTCCCTGCTGGCCAAGACCGGCGCCTCAGGCGCGAGCCCGTCGACCCACATGGCCGCACTCGAAACCGGCCCGAACGGCTCCGCCACCCCAACTGGTACCTTCCGCGGCGCCTCGACCGGTACCCACCTCCTACTCGACGCCACGCGACCTCCTTCCGCCCCCTCCTGCCTCCAGATTCGGTCGCCGGGCCGCCGTTCACCCGACTCGTTGACAAGACCTGCCAACGATACATCTGTACCCTCGGCCCGACCCTTCCTACAGACTTCACAACTTGTACAGCCCCAACCGCAGCTTCACAGCTCCAAAGGGCTGCGCGTTGACGTCGGATCGTCTGTCACTGCCTCTCGTCCACAAACTGCTTGCAGCACTCAACACGAACCCGCCAAACCTCAGCCTCAGCCTCAGCCTCAGCCTCCACCTCTCTCCACCCTTCATCAGGTCCCCGGTTCTCATGCTCCCTCTCCTCCATCCGGTCCGCTCGCCTCACCGTCGGCATCTTCACCTTCTGCCCGAGCCGCCGACTCTTGCTGCCAGTCTTCGCCAGAACACGAGAAGCCGCATTTCTCGGTTGCCGAGGCAGCAGGACCGGAGGTGCGCGGACTGTGTGAGCGCCGTCTGACGTGTCTGCCGTCGGTGAGGCAGATGCGCCGAGATGTTGCGAATGTGACGCGCGAAATGCAGGCCGTCTATGTTGAGGATAGGCCGGCAGATGCGTCCATCGACGGTGCAGAACGAGTGAGCCGAGTGCCTTGTGAATGCAACTGACGTGAGCGATGCGTTCAGCTGTCCATGCTGTCTTATTGACAATGTGGAAGGGTCGCATAAAGTGGTTAAGGTTTGAAGGCTCTTTGCCTCGCGCCACGTCATGAGTGGACGTCAGGATGCCGCAAAAGTCCAATTAGCTAAGGACCTGGCGAAAGCTTATCTCCTCCTGGATGGCTTTCATTTTCCATTTTCCACTTTGCCTGAGTCTCATCAGCACCATCAACGGAAATCGGACCTTCACCACCGACCAGAGAAGATCTTAGAAGTGGGTTGACCTCGTTGTCGCAACTTGGTCTTGTTGTCAGGGCGACTATGTAGAACGCAGTTAGTGCGAAGTCGTCTGCCATTGTAGTTGTCATGATTCCCAGCATCGTTTTGCCATTCTCGGCACCGAGCTACGAACTCGTCAAAGAGACAAGTGAAGTCAATCCCTCGACAACCGTTCTGTCCGAAACGGTTACACTATCACTCCTCTCTCTGTCATTGTCTATCTATCTACTATTTACACTCTTGTCCCACTTGTCTCTGACAGGTTCGTAGCTTGGTGCGGAGAATGGCATTGCTCACTGACGATGCCGACTACGATGCCGGCGAAACGTTTGAGAATGTATCAAGTCCACGGTCAGATGTTGGGAATCATGAAAACTACAATGGAAGACGACTTCGGACTAGGTGCGTTCTACATAGTCGCCCTGACAACAAGACCAAGTTGCGAAAACGAGGTCAACCCACTTCTATACGTCGAAAGGAGACTGCGACCATAACAGAGGCCACAATATCTTGATCTTGTTGAAAAAATTGACTATCAGACCTTGACGACTTTATGCGACCTAGGGTGGATACAGTTATTAATCAAGATCTACCGGGTACTTTCTATATGAATATAATGTGGAGCAATGTTTCCCTCCTCTCACATGTGCCTCATCTGTGTTGTTCGTCTGCCTAGAAGTGAAACGAATGTATTCCAGCCGGGTCCGTCAGTTCTTCCTGCCTCTGGGCCTTTCCAGATTGTGTAATTGAAGCCATATAACATTCTGTGAATATGTGCACCATATAATATCGCCGGGAAGTACTAGTGGTAAACATTTACCGTGAGCACAAGTACAGCATGACACAGCTGCTTTATACGAGTACAGATTGCATAGAAACCCAGATTGCACACTCCTTTTCGTTTAAATGCTCTCGTAACATCCATTTCTAACAGGTCGCGCTCGAGACCTGCCAGGCTCTCTGAACAACTGAGAGTCAAATGACCACGTTTCAAAGGCAATTCCTTGACAATGACACAAAGTAAAGTGGAAATATGGTTCATTTCAATATCCTCTGATCGCACCAACTTTTAGCCTCCTTCTACATCGCGTTTACTTGTATCGTGTCAACTAGTATCGTGTCAATGTATCTACAGGTGCTGTAGAGTTGCACAACACAAGGCAGTAACTGGACATGCGATAGAAGTGTATAAAACTAGTCGTTCTTGTCTGCAGCTATGGGTAAAATTTGGGGGAGGGGGCATCAAAATAGACAGACCAGGCAATACGCCGAATTTTAGAAATACCGGTTATAAATTAGGCCTGATTGCTAAACTTGAAAATCGAGAGTGCTAAGCTGTTTTGACTCGACTGGTCTCTTTTTATTCATGCTTTTGTCTACATTTCTGCTTTTTGTCTTATTTCACACATACACACATACACGTACCCATTCAAAGTTCGTAAACTTATTTTTCGAATTAAATATTGTTTTCGTGACTACCAGTAAATCAGTAGTATGAGATGTATTTACACAATTTCGTTTAAGGTGATGAAGGACTGGTAGAATAAGAATTTTCCCACAATGATATGATATAATTGTGGAAAAATTCTTCTTCTACCAGTCCTTCATCACCTTAAACGAAATTGGGTGAATACAACTCGTATTCGTAAACTTAACCAGACGGATATGTCCGACGTTGCTCAATTGGAGTGACGAATAAGAAGACTTAACATAAAAAATTGGTAACCGGAGACAGAGATGACACTCTGTTCCAATTGCTTAGATACGAAGCGAAGATGGGTTTTGATGAATCTCTTGACATAACATTGTTAGGGGGACTTTCAATTCGTATGAAAGTGAATGAAGAAGAGATTCCTTGGTCGATCCCATCAGATGAAGACGCATAAATCTCGTTATACTGCAGCCGTTTGGCTTTCATACGATATTCATTTTGGTGCAGTCCATAAGACTTCCTCCCTTGTTTCGGGTGAAAACGGGCTGAGCTTTCGTCTATCATATGATGGACATCATCAGAGCTGGGTTTCATTCTTGTAAGAGTCTCACATT